TGAGGTACAAATATGTATTGTGGACCAGAAGATCACCAGAATAAGTTTTGTAGTTTTCCCAACCAAATTCTTTGGAGAGCAAATAAGACATGAGTGCCAAATATACTGAAAATCCTGATATTATGCCAATAATAGTATATTCGATTGGCCGCATCTTGGCTTCATAATATACTTTTGGCGCTTCCGGGTCGTCTATAGGAAAAAGAGAAGTATCTGGTATATACGTTGCACCTTGAGTTCCTTCGTCTTCGAGGATTTTGTGTTGATAAAGTTGTATTCCCGCATATATTAATGAAAGAAAATTGAATATGGCAAGGGCTATTATCTGAACTGTATTACGATGCCAGAGAGCATCAGCTGCTAAAAGTACTTGGAAGAATAGCGAGAGGATAAATCTTGAAAGAAGAAATAAATTAATAAACTTTTTAAAAAGTTGATTTGTAAAGGATTACTTACATTGCATGATAAATTAAATCTGCCTGAGATATTCCATCACCTTGTGGACTCAATTGATATTGTTTAACAAAATTAACATGATAATAAACAACAAAAGCTTCCAAGACGGTAATTACTATCGCTTGCAATGTGATAGAAATCAACGTGATTTTGCCTATGAGAGATAGCTTAAACATTATTATTTATTAAATGCAATTGACAGATAAGAGATCGAAAATGGATTTTGACGCTATCCCTTAACGTGTTTATTAAGGCAAAAAAAAACATGCAGGAGAAACTCAGTTCCCTATGTAAGGTTAAATAAAAGGTGGCTTTCATTACAATAAGATTTGGGTGATACCAAAGGAGAACTAGACTTCGATCATATAAAATTTATATGGTCAAAAGTCTGGTTTTTCTTTTGGCGTCGCTCATTTTGTTAACACGATAAATTGTATAGATTTCCTAAAAAGATGATCAATCTGTAAGTGGTGCACAGCCGACCGATTTCATTATATAGTAATTTCCCATTCATAATATAAATTTTTATACGTACTGTATAAATTTTATCCTGAAAAAATATGTACAGCAGATGAGTGGAAGGGGATACCCAACAATGAAATACCAACTCTGTCATGTAGTGAATCTAACTAGGCAGCATCTGGCTTGAGATACGAGTTCCTGCAAATCCTGGACCAATGTGTACGTACATACGTACATAAGTATATACATGGGGTTGAGTCAATAGAAACCAAGCAAATTTTTTTTGATGCTTTTTTTTAAAATTTTAAACAAAAATAACTTCAC